TGCTACCCCCAAACTTGCTATGTAAGAAAAGCAAGCCATTCTCCATGGGGTTTTCTCATCACAGAGCATCACAACTTCAACTTGGACCCCTGGCACATAAAGATCTGGGAAAGAGAAATGGGACAAAGTTCAAAGCCCTAAATTGGGAGCTAATGATGGCATGTTTGAGAAACAAAGAAAAGATGTGTGTGGCTGGAGCACAGGGGAGGGAGGGAAAAGAGTAAAGTCCAGGAGGCAAAGGGTCTTCTGGAGCTTTGTGGCCCCGGAGAGCCATCTAGGTTTTCTTTTTTTAAGTTCCTAGGGGACCTTTGAGGGTTTTCGGGCAGGAGAGTGAAATTCTCAGATCAAAGTTTCTTAAAAGCTCTCTCTAGCTGTTACAAGAGAGTGCAGGTGGGACCCAATGCTGCTTTATGGCTGGCCCAACCGCTATTCCCACCCTCCATTTGCTCCCTGTCTGGTCTCTGCTGAGCTTAGGGTGGGCCACATGATCCTGGGGTGGCCCCTGAGACACAGATGGGGAGGACTTGCAAGAAAGGTTTTCTCCCCTGATGGGGACAGAGTCAGCTGGTATGGCACTTTACCCACCTCCTGTCTATAAAGAACAGAAATGACACCTGGGACTGCAGTCTTCTTGCAAGCAAGAGGGACATGTCGACTGAAGCTGGCGGAGTGAAAAAAAAATAGAAAATGCCTGCTCTGGGTACTTGTCAGCATCCTCAAAACTCTGAATTCTGCCTGCTGCCAAAACTTACTAGGTGAGCAAAATAACCCTCTATTTGCCTAAGCCAATATAAATTGGGTTTCTGGTGCTTGCAATTAAATATATTCTCAACTGATGTAGTTGACAGGAAAGTCAGCAGAGAGGCCAGGTAAGAAGTGACTGAGGGGGTGAGAGACAATGGTGGCTCAGACTCTTGCAACTCTCTCCCCACAGATCTTAACATTTCTAGTCTTACTTTTCTCTAATTTGTCTTCCACACAATCACTTTTTCTTTTTTTGAAGGCAGAGTCTCACTATTTAGCCCAGGCTGGCCTCAAACTCATGATTTTCCTGCCTCATTCTCCCAAGTGCTGGGATTACAGGCATGTACCACCATGCCAGGCTCACTAACACTTTCTAAATACACATCTCTTCATGAAGTCCTCATAACTTAAAATTCTTTGCTGGCTCGCCATTGCCTACATAATAAAACTCTAACCTCCTTTGCCTAGTACACAGTGCCCTTTGTGATTTGTCCCACCTCCTTATCTGCCATCTCTTCTCACTAGATCTACCCTTCCACTTTACACCCCTTCCATGAGGAATATCACCTGGTGAACATCTCCCATATGACAGACAACACTGTCCATTCTTTACCCCTAATACAAAAAGTACATACTGCAAGTCTTATTTTATAGATTGAGAAACCTAATGCTCAAGGAAGTTAAATGACTTGGCTACAGTGGTTGATTAGTATTTAGCCCCTGGTTTGATTTCAGAACAATAATTTGCCACTCTCACTTTTCAAGAACTCTGAAGGTAGATGACTGCTGTGTCAAATGCTCAAAGAAGCCAGGCACTGCGACTCACACCTGTAATCCTAGCTACTGTAATCTTAGCCTGTTGGAGGCTGCAATCAGAAGATCATGGTTTGAGGCCGGCCCAGGCAAAAAGTTTGTGAGACTCCATCTCAACAGAAAAAGGTAAGGTGTGGTGGGACACCTGTCATCCCAGTGAGAGCAAGAATAACAAAATAGGAGGATCAAGGTCCAGGCCAGCCTGGGCAAAAAGTGAGACCTTATCTCCAAAACAACTAGAGCAAAAAGAGCTGTAGGTATGGCTCAAGCAGTAGAGCACCTGCCTTGTAGATGAGTAGCCCTAAGTTCAAACCCCAGTCCAACCAAAAAAAAAAAAAAAAAAAAAATGCTCAAGGATGCCAGCAGGGCCCCAGGATCTTCTAGTCTTTCCTTTCTGCCACTTCAGAGGACTAGCATTTACCTTCACACTTGCTACTTCATAGTCTTTTTTTTTTTTTTTTTTTTTGGTGGAACTGGGGTTTGAACTCAGGGCTTTCTGCTTGCAAAGCAGGCTCTCTATGGCTTGAGCCACACCACCAGTCCATTTTGTTCTGGTTATTTTGGAGCTGGGGTCTCCTGATATATTTGCCAGGGATAGCCTCAAACCTAGATCCTCCCATTCTCAGCCTCCTGAGTAGCTAGGATTACAGGCATGTGCCACCATTGCCCAGCTACTTTGTAGTCTTAGGATGACTGCTCAGCTCCAGGAATCACATTCAGGTCCAAATCAGAAAAGGGAAGTCTACACCAGTTTGATCGCAGCCCCTCTTTTCTTTCTCCAATTTTTTTTTTTTTTTGAAAACCAACAGTAGCAAAACCTTATTGAAAGAAAAGGAAAGAAAGAGTAAAAGAAAACACAAGAGAAGCTGTGGGCTCTTGCCAGGTGGCACAGATGCCACACCCCCTCTTTTTTTTTTTTTTTTTAAGAAAGCAAATGCTTACCTAGAACCTCCCAAAACTTTTTACCCACAGTTTATGGCAGCCGTTTGGCTGCCCCTGGCTACAAAGGAGGCTGGAAAATAAGGAAATGTCATTGTTATGGTTGGTCTAGATCAAATATAATCTGCCAATTGAGCCTGAGCCCACTATTGCCCTGAACAGATCTGGAGTTCTCTTAGCAAGGAAGATGAGCAGGGGACAGGGTGTGTTGCCACCTCCTGCTAGGCAGAATGGGAACAGCTGGGGTACTCACCCACCTCCCCCCAGATCTTCCAGGAAACCCTTTTTGCCCATCACATGCCAGTTTCCCTGAGACTTTCCTCCCTCGCTCCCTTCCCTAGCCAAACTGATGCTCCTCTCCTCCTACAGTATGCACCTGCTTCCATCATAGGTATCAAATTGCCATTCTAGTAGTTGATGTGCTGCAGTGTGACTGTTCATTCAGTTACACATGCATTGTCTTCAAAATGCTTATTTAACACTTGCTCTTTGTCAGACACTGTAAGAGCCAGGAATTCAGCAGTGAATAAGATTTTTAGACTTGATTCCTGCCCTGATGAAGCTTTCATTCTAATTAGGTGAGATATTCAGACAGGCAAGGTTATAGGAGGAAAGAAGGCCATCTCCCCAGACTATAAATAACATAATGGCAGAACTGTCTAAAAAAAAAATGTGTTACCCCCAGGACCTCCTAGCAGTGTCTCACTAAAGTAGCAGTACTATGACCATATGTTGAAGCCATTCTTCTCTCAGAAAGGCTTTGAAATGTATTTAAAATGTAAACATTTAGGAAAAAATGTAAACATTTTAAGAGAAATGCATTCCTTAATTCTATTAGGAAACCCAGGGCTGGAGGTGTGGCTCAAGTGGTAGTGTGTTTGCCTACCTATTGTGACCCTCCCCCAAGAATGATCCATGCTACCACCCCAGCATTACATCATACCCTCAAGCAGCTTGAAAATCACTCCCACCCTCATTGCAGGTCTCTTCTCTCAGGAAACAGCCCAGGAGCATCTAACCTAACACTTCACATCAGAGGAACTTAGTGTATGGAACAGGGGTCTTTGGGGTTTTATTTTGTTTGAGACAGCATCTCACTATGTAGCCTAGGTTGGCCTTGAATTCATGATCCTTCTACTTCCACCTCTCAAGTGCTGGGATTACAGTGTGGATATGTGGTTTTTACTGAAGGCTTTGTTTGGCTTTTCTAAACAAGGCACTATCATTGTCAGTGCCAGAGCTGCCAAAGTGTAATTCTGAAAGTACTTAAAATAACTCTTCGGATTCCTAGTCCAAAGCTTATGTGTAGTTTTAATAGGTCCTTAAATGCCCTGTTTTGTTGCCCTTTCTACTACTGCAGGTAATGGCAGCTGGGAACGAGGCAGGCAGAGACAAGGGAAATAAAAATAATACAACCCCTGCTTTGGTCTGTGCTTCTGTTGCCATGGTGATGTTGACAAGTGACACACAGGTGAGAGGTTCTTTACACAGTGGAGCCAGTGTATTGTGGAGGCCAGAGAAGGAGGACATAAATATAGGAGACCCCCAATATTCCTAGACCTGGAAAAGACTTCAGGAAGCCATCTGGCCCATTTTCCACCCTGTTAGCCAAAAGTCAAATGGATGGGGAGGGTTGCTCCTGATTGAAGTAGTTTTACATACATTATATGTTTATATACATTATGTGTGTATATGTATATTACATATACGTATATACGTATATATATTACATATATACGTATATGTAATATGTATATATATGCATATATATTATATATGCATACATGAAGATAGCAATACAAAAGCTACCATATACAATTTGAAAAAGGAGAGGAAGAGGGAGGGGGAATATAATAGAGGGGTGAACTTGTTCAAAGTATACTGTACAAACCTACGCAATTATCATAACGAAGCCCCCTTATACTACTAATGTACGGTAATAAAAAAGATAACAAATTTATGTTTCAAAAAAAAGAGAACAGGGCTGGTGGAATGACTCAAGGGAAGAGTGCCTGCCTAGCAAGCACAAGGCACTGAGTTCAAACCCCAGTACCACCAAAAACAAAAAAAAAGAACAAAGTCCACCACCTCCCTGAGTCACCTGTTAGGCTCGTATTTCACAATATTCCTGACCCCAAATGGGTTTTCAATGTCTAATGTCAGTCTATCTTGATACCCTTCCAGCACAATTCCTCTTACTACTGCTTCTAGGGAAACCAGAGTTAATCACCTTATACTCTGTCCAGTCACACAGGAGATACAGTGCTGAGTGTGGACTCACTTGTTTTGTCCCATTACTACCAGCTGGCAGTTCTGTCAGGGTCCCCACCCCTGTTCTTTGCTCCAGTCTTGGCTCTGGCAGGGAGTGGATGGAGTGGGACAGTCCCCCCTGCCATATCAAGAGCCCCTGGTCACCACAAGTGAGAACTGGGCTCACTGCCTAATAGGTCAGAGTAGGGCAGAGCAGACCTCCATGCAGGATGTTCTCCTTCCTCAAGGAAGACAAAGCCGAAAGCAGGAAAGTCTGGTTTTAATGAGATCTTAAAAAGCCTTTGAGACAGTTGACAGAGCCCAAGGCAGCTTGGAAGCCCAGACTGATAGTAACCCAGCTTTCAGGCTTCCAGATGACCCTGCAAAACAGAAACGGTTCTGCTGAGTTAGGAGGGTGGCCTTTTTCCTGCCTCACATTAAAAAAAGAAAGAAAGAAATCCCAGCCTTTGAAATAGTTTCAGGAATCATCCTGTCTGAAATTGTGCAATGGCCTTAATACACAGCTTGCTTTGAAGGTGAAGAAATAGAAAGTGCCCAACCCAAAGTGCACAGAGACTGCTCCCATTCCTAACCCCCACCACTCTCACCACCAAGGCCGTAGGAAAAGGGTATTTGCAGGAGCAGACTTGGTGCTAAGGTCCCCTCCCATTTCCCTACTGCTCTTTCTACCGCTCTCTCTAGCCCTGGACTACCCCCATTTCCATTCTCTTAATCCACTTCATTTGGCTGAAAGCTCCTACCACTGACATGTTAGATTCTAGGCCTTTCTTCACAGTCCCTAATTCCCCAAAACAGTGTCAGAAAGATTGAACACTTGCACTAACTCTGCTTTGGTTCCTCCACTTCCTTTCTTTCACACCCTGGACCAATAAACCAGTGCTTCTTTTCACAAGAGTGAAGATGCCTCCTTGGCTAAGTGAGGTTAACACCCACCGAGGGCTGATTCCGTCTGGTTCTGGTCTCTCCCAACAGCTTAACATCGTGATTTTTGCTAATTAAGCCGCTTTCTTGTCTTTAATTAGCTGCATGTGAATCTTGTTGGGAAGTCTGGGATCCGTGAAATAGTCTGGGATAAAAATCAAAAAGAAATCATCTATACTCAAGTGAAAAAGAGAGACAGCTTACTCTGCTAAAAAGTTAGGATGGCTTGGTCCTAGGAGGACTGCCACTGGTGGCCCCCACTTAACATAATACAAATGGTCAGCAAGTTCCCATGGCCACTGCCTTTGCCAGTCCAGCTCTGAGTGTGCCTGCTCAAACCATCCCAGGGAGGCCTTACACAGGGGGCTCCAGCTCCACCACCCTGTGATGTTTGCTCCTTGCCTGCTCTCTCACAGGGAGCCATCAGAGGGCTCAGGGAGTCTCTGGATTTTCTGCTCCCGACCCATCTTAGGGCCCAAATAAATGCCAAGTATTATTCTTGTCACTACTCGGCTTGCCAGCTCCTATCTCTGAAATATACGCCTTCTCTGAGAATACTGTCTCAGAGGAGAGCCAGGCTCCGCAGGATGACGACAGAAAGGGTTTTTATACACCCGGCAGAATGTGAGTCACAGGCAGCATCTGCTGTGGCAGCACAGACGTACTTAGATTCCGTTAGAAACGGCTTGAAGATGCAATCAACTCCCAGGGTTAACTGCACCCAAGAAATCATCCAGCCCTATCTCCTTCCTTCTAAATACTGTTGACCTTAAGCCATGTGGGCAGCCAAGTCCATTAGAGTCACCTGGGGAGCCTTTAAAACTATGGATGCTGGGCCCCACCCCAGACTAATTAAATAAAAATCTCTAGGGGCGGGGCCTGAGCATCCATAGTTTTTAAAAGCTCCCAGGTGATTCTAATGTGCAGCAGGGGTCAGGAACCGCTTTAAGATTCCCAGGGAAAAGGACTGCCTGTGTGTTCCTTTGGGAAGCTCAAAATTATTAACAGTCCTCACCAAGAGGAAGTTCTGCCTCATTTCTTATCTGGCCTCATTTTGAGGAAATGACAGTGGAGCAAAGAAGCCTTCTGAAAATAGCTCCTGTGAGGGACATCTGGCAAAAAAGGACCTCAGACTCTCCAGGGAGAATCCTGGGCTTGTCCAAGTCTAAATTCCCAATCACACTCCTTGCCTAGGCTTCATGGTGCCCCAAACTGATGCTGCTTTACTTACCTGCAGCGAATTCTGGGATGTTGTCTGGTCGTTTCAGAAGCATTTCTCTGGAAAACATTAAGGGATAGGGAGGGTAGCAGGTAAAGCAGGCTTTGAGGCAGTGGCCACTGCAATAGTCCTGTGTAATGTGAGACATTCCCATCGCAGGAGTCAACAAACCAGGGACCTCAGACAAAGACCCTTTCATTTATGATTTTCTTGTCAGTATCCAAGGCAGGATCAAAACATCCAAGAGGCAATAAACTTCAGTCACTGCTCATTTCACAAAAGAACTATAGCCAGGTGGGGCTTGACATTCATCCAAAAACATTTTCACAGAACCAATACCAAGCCAGGGAAACAGGCAAACATGAAGAGCATCTGCCCAGTCTTCAAGGGGCTCGTGTGCAATGGGACAAACATACAACCTCACAAGGTTCTGAGTTCCCACTGGGTACAGGGCAGGGGTATCATAAACAAAGCTGAAAAGATGGTTATTAGCCCTGCAGCACAGCAAACATACACCATGATAACGCCAAAGTCCCAGCACCTCCGGGTCATGGAAAATGGCTTACATCCCATTGAGTTTTATGGTTCATAAAATATGCTCACTAGTATTATCTTGCTTTATAACATCCCTGTAAAATGACAATTATTATGTCCCCATTTTGCATATGAAGAAACTAAGCCTTTAAAAGGTTAAACATTTGCCCAAGTTCACAAAGATAATAAAGGAGAGTGGACCCAGCTCTGTGACTCTGAGGTTACTGCTCTCGCTGCCCTGGAACGCCAGGCCTGCCTCACCAGCCCCACTTCCCTATGTTCTCTTGACCAAGGCCCCCCTTGCCCAGGAAGTCCTAAACTTTAAACATACAAGTTTCAATAATGTCACTTCCTTTCTCTTTCAATTCTACATGCTAATTCTGAGCACAAATTACATGTAAGTAACTGCACAAGCTATAGGGATTGATTTTTTTTTTAAAGATAAAATATAGCCCTACTTCAAAGAACTTTCAGGGAACAGGTAAATTCCCAAATGGCCAAATGGCCAAGTAATCTCTAAGATGTGCTAAAAGAGGGGTATTAAATAGTGCTCTGGGAAATCAAAGGGGAGAGAAGGGATTGAGAGGACCCCAAAAATCTTCATAGTGCAGATGGCATTAGGTACAGATAGGATTTTGGTAGAAGGGATGAGGGCTGAGGGTTGAAGGACAAGAATATTCCAGATCCAGGGGAACAGCAAGCATCAAGACCCAGAAATAGAAACAGTCTTCTTACCATAGACTATGACTTCCCTGAGGGTAGCAACTATGTTGTAGCCACTTTTGTATACCCAGAGTCCAAAAAACGCACTCAAAGAGTGTCTGTGCTGAGCTCTATGAGCTCAAAGAATAATCAGTGAAGTTCGGTCTAGCTGGAGTAAGAGCCCTATGATGCAGGGAGCAGGGGGAAATGAAGGAGAAGACAGTGGCAGGTCTGGAGTGTATCTTGAAGGTAGAGCATGTGCTTTGCACAAGAGACCCTGGGTTCAATCTTCAGCATCCCAGAAAAGGAGAAGCCAGCAGGAATGGATGAATAACATGGTATAGCCATACAATCACAGGAGTGAGAATAGAGGCTCTACTATTGAGCGAAAGAAGGCAGGCACAAAAGACCACATATTATAAAATTCCACTTACATAAAATGCAAAAAGACATAATGAATTTGTGCAGTTAGAAATAATACTGGCAACTGGACGTGGTGGTACACACCAGCATTTGGGAGGCTGAGGCAGGAAGATTGAAAGTTTGAAGCCAGACTAAGCTACATGACAAAACCCTGTCTCAAAAACAAAAACAAAAAAAAATAATGTGGCAGGAGTGAGTAAAAGGGTTCACAACGGGTCTGAGGTGATGATAAGGTTCAGTTTGTTCATCTGAACACTCATGCCATGAGTGTAGAAAAGGTCATGTGTCTTAGGATATGTCACGTCTCTGTATATTTCAATAGCACACTTTAAAACAAAAAAAGGCGATGTTGTGCAGCCACTGAAGATTCTTCCAGCAAGGAATATGACTAGTGCTGTAATTTGGAAAGATTTATCTGCCTAAGTATTTATAAAAACATCTGGATGAGCAGAGTGACTCAAGTGTTAGGAACACCTGCCAAGCAATCTTGAAGCCCTGAGTTCAAACCCTAGTACCACAAAAATAAATCTACGATATCACCTATGGATGTTGTATCTACAGCCCAACGCTTATTTGAGGTTTCTGGGTACCTCAAATAAGCTCCATCCTCTTCTTTTTATTTTTCAGGTCCAAATTTGAAGGTATTAAAAATTCTCTACACAGTATTTTCTGTTATAGACTGGAAAACTGTGGCTGAATGGCTATAAATTACTAGAACCCAGAAAACCCAAGCAGAGTTCATTTCCCAACAAGAACAATTCAGAGCTTCTTGTGGTTGAGAGTGAGTTGAGAGCAGAAACCTGCATACAGACAGGGACAGGCAAGCTGTTCAGAGTCCTGTCGTCTCTTCTGCCTTCCTCTACTCATAGGACTATGTCCCATCTAGTACAATGCTGGGTAGATTCTGGCTCACCCTGTTAGCACTCAAAGGAAATAACAATAAGACCAAACAAACAAAAGCAACCCCTATACTTCAAATACTAGCCCCTACCACCCAAGAGGAAGGTCTCATGGGATTCCTGCAAGGGAGCTTGGAAAGGAGGGTGGTGAAGAAGGAAAAGAGAAGGCAGCTGAGGTGTTGCTGCCACAGCCAGGGCCAAGAGGCTCAGCCTCCTCTTGGAAACTGTTCCTGAACAAACAGAGAAGCAGGGCCATCGGGGACATGTGACTCAAACATCACCCTCTTCATTCACCACCCCCAAGTGTTCTAATCCTGTTGTTTGTGAACAATGCAAATGGAGATGTAATTCAAGCTTTTAACATTTATCCCTAGTCTCTCAGCTGGAACCATTCCTAACTTAGATTGCAAGCTCCCCAGGATAGGAACCATGTCATTCTTTCCCTTTAGAAGAAAAGTGCAAAAGTGATTGTCTAATTCCCCAGGTCTGATACTGACAGATGACTCCTAAACTATTGTTTGGTCAAGACTTACCCCAATGAACCTGGCGTTCACAGACAGAACTAGATAGGTTTCATTTTTTCCTGACTCCTTCCCCAGTCTGTCTTCTAAGTCTGATGCCCCTCAGAGAAATGGCTAAAATATGAATAGTGAGATCCAAGAAATATAAAGGGGCCTGGGAAATACGCCAGTGCTGGGGCTTGAACCCAGGGCTTCATGCATGCTAGTCGAGTGTTCTGCCACATGAGTCTTAGTAGGATCTGTGTTTACAGCATAAAACAGTGAAAAGAACCAGGGTTCAAATCCTAAGTCGTCAACTTGAGGAAGGTACTTCACATCATCAAGCTTAACCTGTCTCACCTATAAAATGGAAACCATAATAAAATTGAAACCATAACCATAAACCATAATATCTTTTGTAGCGTTGCTGGGAATACCAGCAAAATGGCACTAAGATGCCACACTCAGCATGGGCACTGGGGACAAACACATTGCTTCATCAGCTTGGAGTTTTGGATCAGTAACAGGGAAGATTGACAACACAACTACAATACAGTGTGATGACTGTTGATGTAAGGAAACAAAGCAGTGCCTGAAAATGGAAGCCATTGTTATTATTTAAACATGCCTTGCCCATTGAGCCAAACAGTATTTGAGCAGCTCTGTTGTGTTCATCCACTGCTGCTCTGTGATTTCTTTTCTGTCCCTTCAGTTCTTTGCCTGTTGACCCATTAAGAGATTTTTCATTCAAGCAAATGCCAGGCTACCATGCAGTGTAGGAGAAGGAAAGAATACACTCTAGGATACACTGGAAAATGGTCCCCTTTTGCCCAAGAAGTAAGGGGCATCCAACCCATGGAGTTCTACAACACTTCTCAGATAGGGATGGGTCAGACATCTGAATTTTTTTTTTAACTTCTACTAATGATTTTGTTGAGCTCCTCTAGTTGCGAACAGTGTTCTACACCCACTGGCTATTTGTTGGGTTTCCCAATACCAAATTCCCACTTCCAAGTGCCACAGAGTACATATTTACCTTTACAGTTATAGTGAGTAAGCAAGCATTAATATTTTTAAGAATTTAGAGATAACTGAAGGAAGCCTTTAAGAGATAAAGGAAGAAAGTCCTCAGTGCCCAGAGTTAGAAAAAGTTGAATTGTAGGATATTTTCAAACTTTGAAGAATATTGTGTTTAATATTTTAATATCTTTTTTCTTTTTCTTTCTTTTTTTTTTTTTTTGGTGGTACTGAGGTTTGAACTCAGGGCCTCAGGTGATCTACCACTTGAGCCACTCCACCAGCTTTTAGAGTTTGTTTAAAAAAGGAAGGGGACTCTCATATTCGTTTAACTTCTGGCGAAATTTTGGTATAAATTTTCCACTAGTTGCCCAAGGTCAGTCTGGAAAACCACCTACCTGAAGAAGCCACTTAGAAGGAACTCCACTTCTTTATGGGTCCTTAGGTACTTTTCACTAGCAATCCGAGTCTGGATCTGCCGGGCAAGAGCAAAGGGTCACCACGCTCCTCGAGAAGACAGATCCAGTTTCAACCCCGGAGGTGCGAAAGTCTGAGGAATCAACCTGCAAGTAACCCAGATCTTTCCCGGGTGCTTGAAAGCTCACGCCGCCCATCTTCTCATAGACTCACTTCTTGCTGCCTCCTGTTAGGGTTAACTGAGGTCGGTAAGTTCTCGTCTGTATCTAACTTTTGTGTCTGGGAGTAATTTCGGCCTATTTCTCCGGCCAGATCCCTACTTTAGTTCTTGCACTTTCCAACGCCCGTTGGGCTCGGCTCAGGGGACCAAAAGCCCAGAGATAGTCTGGTGAGCGGCGTGTCTCCTCTGAGCCCTTCACCCCTTTAACTGGTAACAGGCCCCACTCCCCTACTCTCGGGGCCCCCATCCCCGTTTGGGGTCCTCTGTCATGGGGAGCTGCAATTTGACGGAGGAGGGTTCGGGGAGAGCAGGCTCACGCACCTTGAAGTTTCGCAGCTGCTCCAGTTGCTGGGGGCTCAGAGCCCCGGGGTCTGGCCCCAGCAGCCCGCCCTGCAACGTAGCCATCTTGCTGTGGTTGTCAAGGCGACGGGCCGAGGGCTAACGAGGCTCCGCCCCCGAGCCCGCCCCGCCCCGCCCGAAGTCTGTTCCTCTCCAGATTCAAAGCGAGAACCGCCGGAAGAAACCAGTTGGTGTCCGCTCTGCAGCTGAGTGAACCTGGGGGAAAAGGTGGTCTCCAAAAGATCTTTTTTCCCAGATTTGAGGACTTATTTCCGAACTTAGTTGTCTATGGAATGAACTTTTCTTCTTGACCCCAGACAACCTCAAATAGTGTTTTTTATTAGCTCTAGAACAAAACAGAAAAAGGTCCCCAAGGCATGGTCTCCCAAAATCTGATTCCTGATCTGCAAAAGCTGGAGGAACTCTGGTCCTGGTTAAAGAGAATCCAGGCTTCTTCCCGTTCCAGTGGCCAGAAACCAACCCTTGCATCTGACCTGCAGACACTTGACATTGAAATGTTAAAGTCTTAAAACAACCAGAAACCACCCCAGAGCATGGAGTTCTGCAAAGGAAGAAACAAAACGTTAGCTGACTCCAGATGCTGGAAAGGCCCAGGGGGATATCTTGGTTGAATTTCTCCCTCTTGTACTGACTTTCCTACACAGATTAATTTTTCTCTTCACCCTGGGCTTCTCAAAAATTCTAAATTATTTCTCCTACTCCCTGTTGAATAAGGGAGAAGAAAGGTCTTCAAGATTTGTTCTTCTAGTATCTGATTAAGAAGGATAAGTGAAACATAAAGCTGGAGAGCTGAAAATATCCTCGTGGAAAGGGCAGGACACAATCATGTGAGCATTCACATCCACAGAGACAGTGCCCAGCAGAAAGGCCCTTAGAGAGTTTGGAGATGAGAACTCAAAAGGGAGGCTATCTCTTTTTTGGGGGGGAGGTGGAGGGAACAACTGGGGTTTGAACTTGGCTTCGTACTTGCAAAGCAGGCAATCAACTGCTTGAGCCATACCTCTAGTCCGTTGTGCTCTGATTATTTTGGAGATGGGGTCTTGTGAATTATTTGCCTGGGCTGGCCTTGAACCATGATCCTCTCAATTTCACCCTCCCAAATAGCTAGGATTACAGGTACCTCAGTGCCAGCTGAGGCTGTATTTTCAGACTGTTGAACAACTACTCCACTGAGCAAGGAAATGACATGAGAAATAAGCCCAGCATTAGGCCACGGACCCTCCCTTTCCCAGCAAAGAAAAATAGTGAAAATGTTTGCAGTTCCCAATACAGGGAAAGAGGTAAATTAGGCAACGGGCTACAAGCTTCCCAGGAACCTCATCTGATCCTCATCCAGGTTAGTAATCATTTTGGTTGTTGTCTGTGTTTTAGGAGAGTTAATAGAGTGAGAGAGAGATAAGCTGCCATCTGTCAGAAGAGCTATTTTTCCAGCAGGAGCAGAGGTTAACCGATATTTCCTGTTGGCCAAGACCTGTCTCTTCCCACCCTGTACTCCCCAGAGAAGCTAATGGTGGAACCTCCAGAGCTGCACTAGCCAGTAGGGTCGCTACAAGCCCTCCATGACTCTAGAGTGCTTGAAACATGGCTGTGAGTGTCAACTATGTTGGAAATGTAAAATGTACTCTGGATCTTGAAGACTTGGTATGAAAAAATAATGTAAAATATCTCAATACCTTTATATTGATTACATGTTGAAATAGTATTTGGATAGCAGGTTAAAATGTCTTTTTAAAAATAATTTGACTTGTTTCTTTCTACTTCTTTAATGTTGATACTAGAAATTTTCACATTATATATGTGGCCTGCCTTTACAAAATACTAAAGTCTAGACCTGTGAACCTACACACACACACACACACACACACACACACACACACACACACACAATTCTGTTCATCTTCCATCCCCATGCATAAAATAATTGTTATCTTCTTTTTGCTAGTCTATGATCTTCTTGTGCTTGAGAAAATCAAACCTTTCTTTTGGCGGTACTGGAGTTTGAAAACAAGGATTTGTGCTTTCTAGGCAGGAGCTCTGTTGCTTGAGCCACACCTCCAGCAAATTGAGTCTTTCTTGACTGATCACACCTTATGCCCAAATACCCATATGTGAGAACATCTCTGTACTCACTCTTACATATTGTGCTTTCCTGTCTCATCTTGCCACCTGAGCTAGAAGCCACTGGAGGGCAGGGAGGTTATAAGTCAGTTCTTTGTACAGTTTCATAATTCTTCTTTCAATGTCTTCACTCCCTGTTAAATTAGTGGAGCCAGTAAGTATTGATGACAAGCCACCCTGCCTACATATACCACCACATTTTTCTCTTTCTGAGCATACCCAATTATCTGACTTCTCTTACTTCCTAAGAGAACCAGGAACAGAGCTTTCCCTTTTGAAATCAATAATCTTTTATATAGGGCAACTTAGCTTTGACTATAGAAGAGAGAAGGTGAGCTCGAGGATGGTAGACAGAGGAAATATCTTGAAGGAATTAGGGCTTGAAGCTTCCTTTCTTCCTGGACACAAACTCCTCAGAATGGGCCTCTGAGCCACAGGGTCCCCCGACCCTGGTCTTAACTTCACAGGGCCCCCACTCCCCTGGCCTGAGAGAAGATCAGAGGCGTGCCACAGTCCTTCAACTAAGAAGGCCTGATGACAGTTCTCTTTCTCTCCCCTAAACCTTCCCTTGCCTCTCACTCACACTGACACCTCCAATCTGGAGACTGAAAGCTAAGAGAGAGATTGGAGATAATTTGCTGCCTGCAGCTGTCTCCCCAATTACTGACTGGGAGGAGGAGTGAGAGTAGTTCATTGAAATTCATTTTTGTGAATGTTTAATATTTCAATTAATATGATTAGGCCGAAGCCTGAACGAGCAGCAAGGCGGCAGATCTGCTGAGAAGACACAGAGTAATGAGATCAGCGGGGCCCGGCCATGGGGTCTTCCCTTCTCCATCCTCAGAGGGAGTGATCTGTTTAGCATCTCCATAAATACTGAGGAGATCAGATTAGAAAGCAAGAAAGGAGCAATGGGGGTGGGGCAGGCGAGTGGAAAGTTACTTTGGAGACAGATATGTTTGTACTTCCTGATTCCCTGGCACTTGCCATCACATCTTTGGGCTACAGAGTCCTCAACCACCTCCTGCACCTCCTCCCCATCTTAGGGAACTTTATGGGAAGGACCTGGGCCTCCATATGATGAGGTATACTCACGTCTCCACGTATACAAATCCACTCAAATATACACACCTACCAGAATGTAGTTCCAAGCCACTGAAACCTAGGCTAAGGAAGGATGGCAAGTGGTCAGCAGGGAATCAGGCAGTGAAAAGAAGAACTGAGTCTCACCCAGCACTTAAATTAAGACAGAGGGAAAGAACAGACAGGCTAGGCACTGCCCCCATTCCCAAGAGGAATGCTTGATATGGGCGTTGTATGGACTCAGGAGCCAGATTGCCTAGGCTCCAATCTTAGCTAGACTCCTTTCTAGCTGTGTGGCCTTAGGCAAGTTATTTAATCGCTCTGTGCCGAGATTTCTTCATCTATATTTGGATATAATGGTAGAATCCACATCGTAGGGCAGTGATGAGGATTTAAGGAGTTACAAAGTATAACACACTTGGAACAATGCCTGGGACACTATAAGTGCCATATAAGCCTGTTACTATTTCACTTACAGAAGAGGAGCCTGCCTAGCTGAATGGAGACTGTTGGACTGGGACACATTTCAGAGACAACAGCACCACTATGGAGACATCAGTCCCACCCTGGAGTGAAGAAGGGAATGGCAGGGAGGCAGAATGTTCTACAAAAGCTGTGAGTGGAGCACTGGTTGGAAAGCTAGAGCTGCTAGCACTGAGGGCTGCTGTCAGGGATGCTCCCTGTGCTGAGCGGTGCCGTGAGTTGGCCCAGTGCATGGAGGTCAAGATCCCTCCAAATCATGGAACCTAGGACTCATGCATACAAGCATAATTGTTTTGAGGAGTAATGGCCCCTCATGTACATGTCTGCTCCTCTTCACTACCTGATTCAATTAGAGCAAGTTCCACCCAACGAGCCCAACTTAAGGGAGAAGCGAAAGAAACAAAACAAAACAAAACAAACAAAAAGGAGTAATTGGGTTTTTCTGCCCTAAAGAGGAGTTTGTCAGCTGTGTTTCTTTCCACTGAAGGAATCAGAGTCTACAGTTGTCACAGGTTCTTTGCATGAAGTGTTGGTTAAGCACCTGCTACCCATGAGCAAGACAGCGCTAGACACCATGAAGAGTAAAATGCTGAATTAAACGGTGTCTTGGTCTTCAAGGAGTGAGAGTTCCCGCGCCACCACAGCCTCTGCTGCCTCTCTGCCCACACACTTACACACACAAACCCCCAGAGGGAGAGAAGGGGGTGTCGGCAAGTGCCAGAAAGCTCGTTTTTCTTGGTTCTTTTTCTGGAAAATATACAGTTCTCCTTCTGTACTCATCTCAACCTGTTCTTCTCCTCCCACCTCCCTTTCATTTTTCCTCTCTGGGTCCCTTTTGCTCTCCCCTCCACACCCCAGTCTGTGACCTGCTTCCTTTCCTATCTACACATCCCTTCCTCCTCAACCTAACTTTTCTATCCCGTTTTCTTTTCAGTGGTTTCTTTCCTTGGCTCCCCACTCTCGAGCTCCCCAAATGCTGGGCTCCTCTCTCCTCCCCACCCCCAGCTCCCATCTCCTGGGTCTTCTCTTCCAGCACCGGGGACAGCTCCAGCCCCCGGAACAATGGACCCCACCTTAGGGCTCCTCTATAAATTCTCCATCTTAGTGCCTTGCCCAACTCCTGACTGGGGAGTAAGATGGGGGAGGGGTTGTTATCAACAGGACCAGCTGCTCTTCTGGGGGGTGGGAAGGGAGTCGGGTAAGATGGAGATAGAAAGAGGGCGTGGCTCTTGCCTGGATTGTGCGTTCCTCTCCAGGGTAGAGAATTTGTATTCCACCCCTGAGACTGACATCACTGATGTCAGGGGAAAGGAGGTGGGAGTGGGGAGGGGGGTGTGGAGGGGGGAGGTTTTTGTTGAGGAGAGCGCGGCCGGA